ACCAGGACCACAGATCACCAGGGCTCTGCCCAACGGGGGTCACTGGGGATCATCCAACGCCCATCCTCCCATGGGGGATGGAGCTGGAGCAGCGCACGAAGCTCTTCCCGCACTCGGGGCACTCACAGGGCTTCCCTTACTGGTGCCCCCGTTGGTGTTGGGTCAAGTGATAGCCCCTGGAGAAGCTCTTCCCACACTGGGGACACTCGTAGGGCCTCTCCCCAGTGTGGATGCGCCGGTGGGCAGTGAGGTTGGAGTTGTGCTTGAAGCCCTTCCCGCAGTCGGGGCAGCGGAAGGGCCTCTCGTCTGTGTGAATCCGCTCATGTAGGAGGACATGGGAGCTGCGCTGAAACCTCTTCCCACACTGGGGACACTCGTAGGGCCTCTCCCCAGTGTGGATGAGCTGGTGATTTCTCAGGTCAGAGCTCCACCCAAAGCTCTTCCCACATTCCAAGCAGGTGTAGGGCCGTTCCCCAGTGTGAATCACCTGGTGTTGCATCAGGTTAGAGATATCTCTGAAGCTCTTCCCACATTTCCCACACTCATAGGGCCGTTCCCCAGTGTGGATCCTCTGGTGTTTCCTCAGGCTGTAGGTCTGGCTGAAGCTCTTCCCACATTCCCCACACTCATAAGGCTTTTCCCCAGTGTGGGTCACCTGGTGCTGGAGCAGGTGGGAGCTCCACCTGAAACCCTTCCCACACTCCAAGCACTTGTGGGGCTTCTCCCCCAGCTCTGAGCTTTGGCTTGATCTCTGGCTGTGTTCCTGGCACTGGGGGGATCTTTCTTCCTTGCAGCTCCCTGGACTGCGTTTCCAGCCCCTCCTTGTGCGGCATCTCCAGGGCTTTTCCTCCTCCTCTTCCATCTCGACACAGTTTGGGAAGAAAAATTCCTGGTTAGGAGGAAACGGAGAGGAGAGCGCCTTGGGCTGGGGGTTCCACCATGCCCAAGGTCATCTCAGAAAGTCATTGGGCATCTTGTGTCTGTAACAAAGCAAAGCACCAAGATTCAGCCCAAACATCAAAACAAAGATCAGAAACTGCCCAAACACCAAATTCAGTCAAAACCCCCTCCAGAATAGAAAGATTCAGCCCCAGCAAAAAAACAAAGCACCAATATTTAGCCCAAGAAAGTTCAGAAACATCAAGATTCAGCCCCATCAAAATCGTAGATCCCCTCCCCAGTCACCTCCAGGGCAACACTCCTGGAACTGCACACACAGGGAAGGTGGAACCTTGTGCTGCTTCCTCTTCCTGCTCCTCCTCCTCCTCCTGTGGCCCTACTCTTCTTCACACTCCTCTTCCTCCTACTATTTCTCTTGCTGCACAATCCAACCTTCTCCCACGTGAATCCTTTGACCATTTTGTTCTTCAGCTCTGCTTCTCCTTCCCTTCTCCTCCTGCCCCCAGGCCCAGCACCCACTGCCGCCTCCCTCTTCCCCCCCAGTCCCACAGCATCCCACCGCAGGGGCACGGATGCAGCTGGGCCAGCTCGGCCTGGGGCAGCGCTGGGCTCTCGGCCGCTTCCGCCCGCACT